AATTATGATGAAGCCATGCAAGATAATCACAAAGATCATTGGATCGAAGCGATGGAAGATGAGATGAAGTCACTCCATGAGAATGGCACATATGAGTTAGTGAAATTGCCGAAAGGTAAGAGAGCTTTATCTAACAAATGGATATTCAGAATAAAGCAAGATAACCATACCTCTGCGCCTAGATACAAGGCGAGGTTAGTTGTTAAAGGTTTTGGCTAGAAGAACGGAGTTGACTTTGGTGAAATTTTCTCCCCTGTTGTGAAGATGTCTTCTATTCGTGTGGTTCTAGGCTTAGCCGCAAGTCTAGATTTAGAGGTTGAGCAGATGGATGTCAAGACTGCTTTTCTTCATGGTGATTCAGATAAGGAGATTTATATGGAGCAGCCTGAGGACTTAGTAGTTAAGCTTGCAGATAAGCATGCGTTTTGCAGAAAATTGGCAGGCATGAAGCCTGTCAATAGTTCCTCTACTTGAAGACACATTTGGCCCCTTGGCTGGAGGGGGAGTTTGTTGGGCACATGCCCATGTTGTCCAGCCAAAGGCCCAATGGCCTAATCCTATTCTCTTTTGGTTTCCATTCCTATTCGGAATTGGATTTGGTTTTTGTTCCTATTTAGAGTTGGTTTTGGCTTTAAGAGAAAGCACCACTCATGATCTATAAATAGGACAACCTTGGAGAATTATTCTATGCTCATTGATACAAGTCTTTGAAAGACTTAAGCACATAAGAGTGGTTTTTGAGAGAGCTTTCATCAAGAGAGAAGAGAGAAGAAAAGTATTTATTTTGCTGCAGATTTTTATTCCGACCAGCCAACTTCAAATCACGTTTTTCGATTTCTCAACCGTTGGATCGGGCTGAAATTTTGAATGAGTGTTTGTAACATCTTGATTTTGGATTTGAACGGTGAAGATCGGATATGAAGGCTCGCAGCATCTGATTTCGAGCTTCGAACAACAGCTTCGTTTTTGTGGATTATACTCTTTCTTGAATTGATTAGTTGTTGCTCTTGTTGCTATTGTTGCTCCGTGTTTGGCCCTTGTTGTGTAGCCAATTTGGAGAACTTTTATAACCCTCTTATTGTTATAGTGGAGCTTTTTGGATCATTGTGATCCCGTGGTTTTTACCTTCGATTTGAAGGGTTTTCCACGTTAAAATTTGGTGTTCTTTATCTTCTGTTATTTTCGGGTTTGCCTCTTCCTCAACATAACAGAAGATACAAAAGTACATTAATCTACGTGATGAGTGAATTTGGTTCTTGATGAATTACTTTATTAAAGTGATAAGTGTATAGGCTTCCTAAAAGGAATTGTAGTTTATGAGTTATTTTGGGGAATTGATCTTTGGGATTGGATTAAAAGGAAAATATACTCATGGCCTCACAACAATCTCAAATTAGTTTAGGAAATGAATAATTATGAACATCGTAACTTGTTTTAGGCGCGATTAATTATAAATTATCGTGGCCATGGGTACGATTCCCCTGGCGTGGTCACGATATGTAATTCCCAAATCCGGGTGTACATTTCATGTGATCCGGCCACTACTTCAAATAATAATAAAATAAACATGTCGCAAATCGCGGGTGCATTTCATGTAGCGTGATTTGCGATGTGTTCCAAAACGGCAAGTGTACGACAATCGTGACTTGTTCCAGAAATAACTCCATAAATAATTAAAAGCGATTTAAAAGTTAAAAATGCACAATAGGTTTAAAACATGTAATAAATCAGATGATTAGGCCAATTATTAGTAGTTAAGCGACCGTGCTAGAACCACGGAATTCGGGAATGCCTAACACCTTCTCCCGAGTTAATAGAATTCCTTACCTAGTTTTCTGGTTTCGCAGACTTTTAAATAAAGTCGATTTTCCTCGGTTTGGGATTTAAAAATAAACCGGTGACTTGGGACACCATAAATTATTCCAAGTGGCGACTCTAAATAAATAAAAATAATCCCATTTCGATAATGTCACTTTAATTGGGAAAACTCCCTATCCCCCCTCGGGTAAAAAGGAGGTGTGACAACGCCCCCGCATCGAAAGTCTCTCTATTATGGGCATCCCGTATCTCCTTCGGAGAGAATGCCGGACCCGGTGGAGAATCACCCACATCAATAACTCTGGCTGGATCGATCGAGGCCTTCTCTTGCATCCAGGGAGCCTCATAGTCGGGTCCCCGAACTCATCTACCGAATGCCCCTCGGCTCGGGAAATGTTTTGGTCGTCGACCGGCTCAGGGACATCATCTGACCCACCCTTGAGATCCTTTTCGGCCCGAGGTGGGACAACATCAGCCACTTCTGGTTTAGAAGCCTTCGGCTCAACAGCCATCGGCTCAGCAAGATCTGAAGTAGACACGCTTTCTCTTCCCCCGGGTGCTAGCGGGGAGTCATCTTTCTCTTCGCCCCCAGCTCGGGGACTCTCTGCTGCTTCCGAAGTTAAGGCCGGTGAATCGACCTTAGGCTTTTGAGCTTTAGCCTTCTTCGGTTTTGGGGACTTAGTCGGTGATTTTCTCTTTCTCTTCTTCTCCTTGGTAAGTTTTGGGGTATCTGCCTCCACGAAGGGGGCTTCCCTCATCAAAGAGGCCTCTCCCAGGCCTGCACAAACACAAAAGGTAGGTACAAAAAATGAGAATACAGTCAAGGGGTATCTCCTTTAAAGATCTCAAGTACGACAGAAGAAAAACCTCACCATGATTTTTAGCTTCCCATCGGGCCTTGGCCAGATCGCGCCACACGCGCATAGCATACGGGCAAGTCGAATTGAGCTGGTGAACCCAGCTCGAAAGATCCTTAACCACGCCAGGGTACCACACAACAGCTGCATCATCAAAGGGAATTAGTTCAAGGGGAAGATGGTCCAAAGGAAAGAGAAAATATTTAATTAACATATTCTCTTACGATTCATATTCCGTTCTTCGGGGAATGGCATCCTTTCAACAGGAATTAGATTCGAGGTCCTAACTCGGACAAAGCGGCTCATCCACCTCTATCCTTATCTTCATCGGTGCAAGCAAAGAGAACCTTCAAGGCCCGACGTTGAAGCTTAATCAGACCGCCTCAATAAAATCGGGGGTTGTACATCCTAATCAGATGGTCAAGGGTAAAAGGCTTCCCCTCGACCATGTTTGCCTAGTGCCTAATCATGTAAACAATGCGCCAGAATGATGGATGGATTTGGCCGAGTGTCACCCGATATTGTCTGCAGAAATCGAGGATCATGGGGTCTATCGATGGCGAGGATGGTTCTACCGGACCTAGGGTAAAAGGATATGTGTATACACTAAGGAAACCGATTTTATGTGTCGTTACGTCTTCCTCCCGAGAAGAAATCTCCACTTGCACCGCCTCTCCTCAGCGGCAATCAGCTTTCACCTTCCTAGTGTTGGTTATCAGGCTAATATATCGGGACATGGGTTCGCACCGCCTCGGTTTCGAAGAAGGCTTATCAACCTTGAAATCGGAGGATGTTTCATAGGGTCAGGGGATGCAATCCTCAAGACGAGAAGGTACTATGGCCTTGCCCTTAGACGAGCGTGAAGATGAAGAAGCTTTATCATCTTGGGGAATGGTTCTAGAGGTCTTCGCCATTTTCGCTGAAAGATTTCAGAGGAAAAGAGAAAAACTGGATGAGAGACGAACACAAGAAAGAAGTAAGAAGAGCTGTCGAAAGTTTGGAGATATGATGAAGAGTAAGGAGTGAAGGATTGGAGTATTTATAGGGGCCAGTAGTGCGCGTTGGGGAAAGCTAAAGGATGGCCAACCGTCGTAATCAATTCGAGGCTTTTCAAGAGCCATGCGAACGTGACTTTTGAACATCCCTTTTCGTCACATCAACCGCTTACATGACATAACTAACGTAATGATGGAGGCATTGAAGAGTTGAAGAATTCAAATCGTTCCTTGTTATTTCATTCCAAGAAACGCGGGGACTATCTGTATACGATCAAAATCAAGGAAGGCTGATTTTAAAGTTTTTATGGCGTTTCAAGCCCGGCCTCGATGGGCTCGAAGCACAATCTAAGGCTTGTCCCCGAAGCACTCGCCTCAAGAGGGTGTATTGAAGACTCATCACAGCGTACCTCGAGGCAGCATGAAAATCGACGACCAACATGGAAAGGAGAGAAATTCCCAAGGGCACGTGATTAGAACTGACAGAGTCTGCGACAAATAGTACAAATTTGTACTAAACCATTATACAGCTGTACCAATAATATTTCCTCGTCAATATTAGACATACACTATGTTGGGATTCCCCCCTCCTATATAAAGGGGACCCTTGTCATTTTGTAAAACACATGAATATTCAATACAATAGAACATTCTCTGCTTTTCTTGCCTAAACGTGTTCAACAATTACTCTACAGATTTATTGCTTGTTTATTTATTGTTCTTTATTTATTGCCCATTATTAACCGCAAAAGGCTATCTTCGAGGCCTTCAATATCATTGTTTCATCATCAATTGTTCATCGCCAACTACCCTAACTAGACCTCGAAGCCCCCTGTTCCAGCCAGCTTAAGGCCCAGTCTTGCGACAGCATTAGTTTGCATATCTTATTCTCTTTACTTACATTAACATCTATTGCCTAACAACTAGTATTAAAATAAATCACATATTTTTAGAACCATAAAATCAAATATAATTGTTAATACCATTTTCAAGGTAAACACTTCTACTTTCTCAACCAAAGGTCCGAATCACGTCAAATCAATTCCGTTTTTCACCAAATTTCACAGATAAGGTTTTAATATCATAACGGACATGTATCGGACTCCAGAACCAAAATACGGGCCCGATACCAACCAGATCAAATCTTTTAAATTATTAATTTTCAGTCTTATCAATTTTCTTCAAAAATTCATTTCTCGGGCTAGGGACCTCGGAATTCGATTCCGGGAATACGCCAAGGTCCCATATTTTACTACGGACCCTTCGGGACCGTCAGAACACGGGTCCGGGTCCGCTTACCCAAAACATTGATCGAAGTCGACAAAAATTATCTTTTTAAGCCAAAATCATCATTTTTTAAATGTTTCACACAAAGGCTTTACGGATAAATGCCCGGAATGCGCACGCAAATCGAGGAGAGATAAAATAAGATTTTCAAGGCCTCGAAACATGGAATCGGATTCTAAAACAAAAGATGACCCTTTAGGTCATCACAGGCTGATGGGGTGATCCCTCTAAATGTGGCAAGATCTGGTCTACGAATTCTCCCCAAAATGTTGCCGAGATATTATTCCTCCTGCATAATTTATATAACAACTTAATCAGACAGCGATAAGTAATCTTGTTAAATATATAACAAAGTAAATTCATAGACGTAATCTTACTCATGATCTTCAAGTTCCACATTCATAAAAGTGTTGGTCTTATCACCTTGGTTATGTCATTCTACTTCACCATAACTTACAACCTCTCCAATGACATCTATAATAATTTTAAAAAAATGGTCAGGACAAAGTTAATAACGCAGTTCAAATATAAGAACTGCGAATGGAATACTTACCGAAGAGTTCACTTTCTTCAACATCAATTTTGTTTATCAAATACTCATAAGGTCTTAAGTCGAAGACACTCATACCAAAAAGATGATCATTTGATTCCTCTACAATCGTCTTATGAGTAAATGCCAACTTTAATTTATGTCGCGTGTATTTAAGTTTCATAATATTTGGTCCAACCACAAAGTTCTTCATAAAGTACAAACCCAATTCCTTTATTTTTTGTTTGAACATACGTATAAGAGACCGACCAACAGACGCATGAATTCGATCGCCCTAGAAAAAACAATTCATAAATAATATTGAGTCAGGCAAATACTCAGTTGTACAGTGTTGTCACAGATTATATTAAACAATCAAGTATCAATGGGTAAAACATAATATGTGAATGCTTGCCTTTCCAAAATAACACATACTGCATATAATCTTAGATATTTTATTGTCTAAGATCTCCAAAAAAGTTCCATTCATAAAATACTAAAAAAATCTTCAGAACAAAGTACAAATGATTTCAAGTTGATGAACCTATAAAATATTGCTTAATATGAAAGAACAGAAGTATGAGATAGTAGAGAAAAGCGATGATAAAACACCACTCCTTGAAAAGTAAAAAGCTAAAGGTAGTTCAAATAATTTTTTGACATAATCTCTGAACACACACATAAATCAGTTGTCTTTGTGATTAGTATTTTCATTTGTAAGATGAAATAATAACACATCATTTGTAACATGTTCATCTAGGACGGCATCAAAACAGAACTCATGCTTCTCCACATCTAGGACAATCAAATTTGCTAGAAATATTGCTACAACTTTACTTCTTGGTTGAAAAAATAAATGCAACTAAAAAAGAATGCACCTTTTCGTCTTGAATAATTAATTCAAGGGAGACGGTGTTGTCTGGTTTGTCGCGGCCTAGATCGTTCCACAATCTCACTACTCGTACCTTCAAATTCTAACTCATCTTGTTACTCGATATATTTCTGATATAGTCAAATGCCGTCATATTTCTTCTTAGAGAAAATTTGATAAGAGGATATATATATATATATATATATATATATATATATATATACACACAGTATTACANATATATATACACGTGTGTCTAGGGGCATTAAATATATATAAAATAAATTTCCATATAAAGATCCGTAAAATGTATGATCAGCCCCTAAAATGTAACTAATTTAGGGGCATTAACTTTTATGAAAAATATATTCCCATAAAAAGAGTCGAAAAGTGTGTGATCCAGCACATAAAATTGGTTTTTTTATTTTACCCTATTTCACTGACAAAACAAAGATCAATTCTTTCAAAAATATTCACCTCTTTGCTTAATTGGAAACACTTAAAGAATAAAATTTATGTTAAATCGTTTCTGTTGGTTTTTTTATATTTGTTTAACACCCATCTTTTTGTTACAAAAGCCTTCCCGTTGGCTTGTTTTAATGTCTTACAGGACCCTGCAAATCAAGTAATTAGGGTTTATATCTAAAATTAAGGAGAAAAGTCATCTGCATAAACATACCTCGAGTTGGATTTTGGTTGGAGAAGATAAAATATGATAGCTGCCGGGAAATTGTGAATCTTTTCCAAGTAGAAATCCCTCAATTTTAGATAATAAAGATTCAGATCTGAAAAAGTGTTAGCCTGCTTATGATTTTGTAAACAATACATTGTTTCTTGTTGATGAGAATCTTCTCATCTTCAGTGAGCAAGTGAGATCATACGGTTCCCAATTGGGAGAATTGGGAATGTCTTTAGGAAGGCAAAGAGAAAAGATTATTGCCTCCGATATGAAACACGGGTTTTTAGGAAGACATAGAGATATGAAATACGATATTTGAGTATTATTTTAATATTAAATATAGAAAATTTTACAAAACAGAGGCAATACATTTGGGATTCCCCAGTTAGTTTCTAGGCCGAAAAATCTGGCTGTTACAACTTGCATTTTTAATAAATTAAGTTGCCATGTGTATTTTTAATAGGTTGTCACTTGGATTTCTAATAACTTGCCACTTGGCTAAATGAGAAGTCAAACTTTCTTGCTTTAATATATATATATATATATATATATATATATATATATGTATATATATATATATAGTTTACACTTAAAAAAATGGATAATAATTAAATTTATACGCGGTTTTAAGGATATATGGATGTCAGGACCCAAAATCCAACTAGTCGTGATGTCACTTAAACCAACCCGCTAGGTAAGCCAATAGACAATAAACCAATTCCAATGAAATTTAATGAGACATATAAATAAAAGAAAATATCTTAATCTTATGCATTTTCCAAGGACTAGTAGTACAAATCAAGAGCTTCTAAGATTTGGAGTTTACAAAGTTAGTATGAAATAAATAAGTCATCTGTTCGAAATGTACATAACAGATTTTAATAAATCTAAGGCTACCATGAACGAGAGGTAGCTACAACCGGAACGCAGGTACATCGTCAAATCCAGCTGCCGTCGATCACAACAACGTCAGCAACCAACATCTACACGCAAGGTGAAAAAGTGTTGTATGAGTACAACCAACCCCATGTACTCAATAAGTAACAAACTTAACCTTAGGTTGAAAGTAGTGACTAGCTGGGACAAGGTTCAGAGTCCAACTCCAATAACCAGCAACAATCCATAACAATATAATAAAAGGGTACATGAAAATAACTCAGAGGTAAGATGATCAACTCGTTCACAATTATAGAAAAATAGATATGCTTTTCAAGTATAACAGTAAATCCTAGATCTTTCACCGAAAACCCAAAGCATATAAGTAAGTTTGAGAATTGTGATCTGTCAAAAAACCCTTCAACAATAAATAAGATGTTTTATTTTCAGATAGCATGGGAAAAGTACATCATTATGCCTACATGTCAAGATACAGGTAAAATCATGAATGTCACCAATCGAGTAGCAGAAGGAAATGCATATCCATGCATGTATCTCAAGTACGCATGTCAAATACAATGCATCTTAACTCATGTACTCACACTCTCAGAGTACTCAATCTCACTGTCTCGCATTCTCTCTCACCATGCTCAATACCCAGCACACTCAATCACTCAGCTGTGCAATACCTACTGAGGCATGCAGCCCGATCCACATATAGCCATAAGGCCCGTTGCGATGGGCAACTCGATCCACATATATATAGTCATAACGCTCGTTGCGGCGTGCAACCCGATCCACATATATATAGCCATAAGGCTCGTTGTGGCGTGCAACCCGATCCATATATATATACATAAGGCTCGTTGCGGCGTGCAATCTGATCCACATATATATAGCCATAAGGTTCGTTGCGGCATACAATCTGATCCCCCCCCCCCTACACACACGCGCGCACACACACACACACACACACACACACACACACACATACATATATATATATATATATATATATATATATAAAAAATCAGCTACACTCACTAGGGGTGTGTACAAACTCCGGAGGGGCTCCTTTAGCCCAAGCGCTATAATTCGCACGGACAACTCACGTGCTGAAATATCAATATCCTCACAATCAGGCCCTCGGCCTCACTCAGTCATCAATCTCTCCAGTCTCTCGGGCTCACAATGCCATGAAACTAGCCCAAAATGATGATATGATGTGTCAATAAATAACAACAGAGAGTAAGATATGATATGAAATGAATGAACATGATTGAGTATGAAATTGCTACTTAAACAAATAATTCAACAGCAATATGACCTCAGTGGGTCCGACAGAATAAGCACGTAGCCTAGACATGGTTTCTAACATGGATCATAGCTCAATAGCTCTAGTACGTAGAGTTTTCATAGTTACAAATAAGATAAAGTAACTACATAGTACCACAGGGATACAGAGTCACAATTCACGCGGCGCACACCCACACGCCCGTCACCTAGCATGTGCGTCACCTCAACACCAAACACATAACACGTAATTAAGGGTTTTAGGCCAAACGACGCTCCAAAATGCCATCCCGCGCATACCGACCTTCGAACAGCTTGAAACTAGCCAAAAGAAACTCAAATACATCAAATGAAGCCCACGGAAATAATTCCAAATGATAAAGGTCGAATCCTTAATTAAAAGCCCAAAATTGCCAAAAAGTCAAAACCGAGCCCACGCTTCGGAACCTGAAAAACTCACAAAATCCGATAACCCATTCAATTATGAGTCCAACCATACTAGTTTCACTCAAATCCGACTCCAAATCGATGCTCAAAACTCAAAAAATCGCATTATGAAACTTTAGGCAAAATCTCCCAATTTCCTCTTTAAAATTCACAATCCAGTTACCAAAAATGAAGATATATTGATTCACGAAATATAACCAAAATCGAGTAGAGAACACTTACCCCAATTCATATGGTGAAAATCGCCTAAACAATTACCGAAATCCGAGCTTCCCAACTCAAAATATGACCAACTGAACAAACTCTTGGTATTAAATAATTTTGCGCAGCTGTTCTGCCTTGTTTTGTATGTCAAACTATCTCGAACCTCGCTTTTCATGCCTCCAATAAATTTCTTGTGAAATTTCAGTCAAAATAGGCTTTTGAATCACCCAATTTGGCCTTAAATTGAGGGAGATATGATGTTTTGAAGTTTAAATGAAGTCTTGAAATATAAGGGATAAAAAATGACATTTTCGTAATTATTTTACACCAGAAAATCAGCAACGAATTTTTTTCGTTTTAGCACCCAAAACTCATTCGGAACCTCCCAGCCACAAACCATATATGTGTTTCAATCATAAAACACGCTACGAACCTGCTCGCACACTCAAAACACGGAAATGATGTCATCTTGACCCGATATTGACCGTGGTCAAACTCCAAATCCTTAACTTAACTAGTTTCTCAACCAATGATCCAAAACACACCAGAGCCCCTCGGGACCCCATTCAATCATACCAAAAAGTCTTAAAACACGACACAAATTTATTCGAAGCTTCAAATCACATCAAACAACATAAAAATGACGAATCGCACCTCAAATCAAAAATCAATGAACTTTGCACTTTTAACTTCCAAAACTCGCGTCGAAACATAACAAATCAACCCGGAATGAACCCATAGTTTGCACACAAGTCCCAAATGACATAACGAAGCTATTCCAATTCCTGGAACCACAATCCGAATTCGATATCCTCAAAGCCAACTCTCGGTCAAACTTATGAATTTTCCAAACCTTCATATTTCCAACTTTCACCAATTTGTGCTGAAACCTTCTAGAAACGTCCAAATGCAAATCCGAATTTATGCCCAAGTCCAGAATTACCATCCGGACCTAACAAAACCATCAAAACTCCGTTCCGAGGTCAAATTCACAAAAGTCAAACTTGGTCAACTCTTCCAACTTAAAGCTTCCTAGTTGAGAATCGTTCTTCCAAATCAATTCCGAATAACTTGAAAACCAAAACCGACGATTCACACAAGTCATAATACATCATACGGATCTACTCATGCCTTCAAACTACTGAGCGAAGTGGAAATGCTCAAAACGATCGATCGGGTCGTTACATTCTCTCACACTTAAACATATGTTTGTCCTCGAACGTGCTAAGAGTCATTTCAAAGCCATCAAATCGCCCTATAACCTTATCATGCACATACCCGGGGTGATCCCACGTCACCCTAATCCATATAAGCCTGACGACACAACCTAATTGAAGATCCTTAATTCAACCTTAGCCCATAAAGCTTGGAATCCGATTTTCCAACATCCGAATTTCCTCTAAGACTCAAATCTTGCATCTATACATTGTATAAGTCTGAATAAACTGCATCGAGCCTTAACCGTAACCCAAGACACAATCCCATGATATACCACATAACTCAAATACTCACAGCAATAATTTCTAATCACCGTAGCTACTAAAAAAATAAACCGGTACAGGTAATAAAACTCATATCAAATAAAACCTCGTTCTAAAACCTTCGTACACTGTCGATGATGAAAGAAACACGCAGAAACTTATAACCACTTATCAGACCAACAAGTCATGGAACTCTCCCTCCTTCCACAGGAACTATAGTCAATTTCTAAGCCGACTTTCGATATTATCCTCCATACATGCTATAATCAAATCTGATAGTATCCATTCTAGGTCCAATGACCTCATCTTATCCAACACAATCACTCTAGTGACATGCCACATCAATACAATCTAAAGCCACAATCCGTGCAATCCGTGCACCAATAAGCAATAATCCAAATGTACTCAATCATGGAAAATGACTCAAACTAGAGAACCATCCCGCAAGTTCAACAAGTACCACCACGACCGAAATGCTACGAACCCACCATACCTAGTAGAGCCAAGACACACGAATCTAACACAAAAGATCGTATCTTAACATAACCCCGCTGCAATGCGTGACCCCATCCTAACATATATCCATATGAAATACCTCAGCCACCATGCTCAAAATCAATAACCACACACAATTCGACATCAAGTACCCAAGGTGCATGACCATAATCATGGAGAGACAAATAACACAATACCACAATCCGGAAAGAACATAACCAATGCGCAATCAATCATTCGACACCCTAATACCCATCACGCTCAAATTTTGCTATAAGAACCAAATAGAACCGCACCACGTGTGCATATAACCAACGAATCACAACCCCTCATGGCATAGAAGGGTAACTCATAGAATATATCAGAACACGAATAAGCTTAACTCTAACCGAATGGCACATCCCTCAACAATAGTCGTACAGAGTCAACCAAGCCGATCTGGTGTAGAATACACATCCTCATTGGGCCTAATCAATGGACCCC